AGTGATCAGTGATCAGTGTGACCAGTGATCGGGCTAAAAATAATCGTGTCTTATGGCAGCCATTTAGTCAGCAATTTTCATACATCTTGGCAAAAGATTTCACTCGGTGTCCGAGCGTTCGGGCCAATTGAACGATCAGCAATCATTCGATCGCTCTATCGATCGATCGATCGATCGATCGTCCGGTCGTTCGATGTATCATTTAGTGTGTAACCTCAATACGGCGATCAATAAACAAACAAGCCAAATGCCTAATAATTGTAATTTACCATATTTTTGTCGACTATATGACGATCATAGACGAACCAAACACGATCGGTGGGTGCCCCATGGCAGAGTGGAAGTGGGAGTGGAAGTGGAACTGGGAGCGAGTGCCAGGGCAGCTCTCTCGGGCAAGCCGCAGAGCCAACACTCGTAGCTTCGATGGGCAATACATATTGATCAAAATTGATGATGTTGACACGAACTTTGAACGAGCTCCAAACAAGCGATGATGACTCTACGATCAGCAAGCACTGTCTACCTCGACGACGGCGACGGCAACGGCGACGTCGACTCCACTCCACCTGCTTCTCTTTCAGCTTCAACGATGTTGTTGTTGTTGTTTTTTTTTCTTCAAGGGTTTCTTGCCGATATTTTCGAAATGTTGAACGATTTTCCCAAGTGTTTTTCGATTAAGCAACAACAATAACAACTCTATGAATTCTCAAGTGAGAGTATCACACAATCGATACATACACTTATCAGCCAGTCTCGAGCAGCAAAACCATTCGATAGCTGAAATCTAAGCTAATTGAAGACGGCTCGGCTCGCCTCTCTGAGCTCTTCAATTCCATTTGACATTTGCCGTTTGTGTTTGTGTTTCATTTGAACGGGTTCAAGTGTTTCTCTTTGTGAAGCATTTAATTGTTCAGATGACACTTTTGGCTTTTGTCTAGGCAACAGAATTTCTGGCAATACAAATTTGTGGCGGTTTTTCTTTGGCGTGTTGCAATCGAAGCGCGTTCTCCTCGTAACTTTCAATTAATGTAGTTAGATCTCAGACCTGGCGTCGTCGTCGCCATCGTTGCCAAAAATGGTTAGCCAGACAAAACGTTCCGAGACGTCCACAACAGCAACAATAACAATGACAACAAGCAATCTGACCAACTGCTGGTCTGCTGGTCACATTGTAGCGCCAACACTCGCCAACAACTGTCAGGTGTTTAGATGCCTACCTCTGAGCTCGAGCCCTCCCTCTCGCTCTCGCTCTGGATCTCTCTGTCTATCCCTCTCTCTTTCTATTTCTGTCTAGCGCCACGAGTCGCATTAGTCTAAGACTTAAATGGAGTCTAAACACTGGTGCAGGCAGCTTGTAATGCTAGACTCCGAGAGGCTTTGTTTGACTCATTTTTTATAGGGGGGAAAAAAGAAGATATGCAATAATCCTTTAGAATTTTCCCAGCTAAGAACTCTGTAAACATGAAAGTTTTAGTGATGAAGAATAAAAAAATATATAAGTAAAAATAAAGTATTTAAATGGCTGACAAACTCTTATTATAAACTAGAAAATATTCATTCCTCATTTAATAGAGTTCAAATTAAATTTATTTTTACTAAAAATATCTTAGTTGAAAACCCTTAGCTAGCCTCTGCATTAAAATAAATTTATATTTATTTAAAAATGCTCAAGGAACATAAAGCCCAACAAAAATAAATAAGTATAATATTATATAATAAATAGTATATATAAATAATATAGTATAATATAATTATAATAAATATAATAAAATATAAATAATCCCTGCTTAGCAATTGAATTAATAAATAAAAAATATTCAAATATTCTTATAAATATGTCTGAGGAGCTGCATTTATCAAATAGAGACTCTTAGATCATATTATATTCAATATTATTCATGAATTTCCTTGTTAGCCTCCAATATAATAAAAAGCTAATATTATTTAAAAATTTAAAAATTATTGTATCAGATACAAAACCTCTATAAATATCCACTTTCATTAATCTCAACTATCCTCACATAGATTGCTCAAGGAAACCTTGATGCATGGTTTAATAAATTCCGTAAAATTATGGCAAATGCCATGATTGCAAACTCCTGGCAATCTCAGTCTGTTTTAATGGCACTCCACTCAACTATAGATTCTCTCTTCAGCTTCAACTTCTCTTCGGATTCAATATGTGCAGAAATGTGCTGAAGTGCAACTAGAGTTCGGTTCAAAATTGTTGCAGCGTGTTGCAGCTTGTAATTGTTGCCACTCGTCGTTGTCGCTGATTGTCAGTGGGGCTGCTGCTGCTGTTGCTGCTGCTGCTGTTGCTGTTGTCCTCTCTGGCTGACAACATGCTACACTTTGGTCACTATAATGAGCCGTAATTAGTGCTGATGTGTGGACAACTCAGATGACTTGGCTAGCTATGCGCCATGATAGGCCGCGTGTGAAAATTTGCGCGCTTTTTGATAATTGCGACAAAGAGCTGTGAGTCGTAGCTAACTGAATGTTGTTGTTGCAGTTGTTGCAGTTGTTGTTGTTGCTGGCGATCGTTGGCTGTAGCTGACATGGCCATGCATCAACGTCGGTGTCGTAGACGTCTGGCTAAATGAAAGGAAAACTGATTAGCCTTGACAAGTTCAAATTGTTTGGCGTAGGGTTGGGATTGGAAACGCGTTGAGTGAAAGCGTTTGGGGGGCCTGTGAATAAAATCTCTTTTCCCCAAAAGCAAAATCAAAAAAATACCAAGTAAAAGACACAAGCAAATAAAAAACCGAAAGAAAAACAAAATATCAAAATGTCCACTGATTGCCAGCGCTTGTCGTACAGCCAGACAGTCGGACAGCCAGCCAGTTGGCTAACGGTTAATACAGTCCATCATTATCAGCCACCAACACCGCCTAGCAGTAAAAGAAATGCGTTGCAGCAACAAGCAGAACAACTGCAACTGCAACAGCAACAGCAACTGCAACAGCTCTAAGGTCAGTTAGAGACCAAAAAATTGTTGTGCACACACACGGCGGCAGCCTAAAAAAAATATTCTCACAAGGCTGCTTGCGGCCCAGTGCGGCTGGTTCTGCTGGCCACCGTCCGTCGTCCATGCAGTCTCAGTCTCAGGCTCAGGCTCAGCCTCAACCTCAGCCAGAGCCTGCAACATGAAACAGGTGTGGCACATCGCGTCTACAATGCGCATCGTAACTACACACACATACACACACACCAGGCCGGGCCAAAGCCAAAAACTGGGAGGCTGCCCCAGCCGTTTTGGCCAGGCCATCTCTGCAGCTTGACTCCATCTGAGGCAGTAAGTGTGCACTGAGCGAAATATTTGAGATGCTTATGACAAGTTTTTCTTTTTTGCAAAATTGAGAAGCCAAAAAGAATTGTTGCTGCGATAAGTATTCAATCTGTTGAGCTATGATTGAACAGACTTAGAGTGTGATATGATGTGGCGAATAAATGCAAAGAAAATTAAATTATATGAGCT